CATAAAAATAAATATATATCCTCAAAAGGTTAGGTACAAATGGTGTATATTTATCTTATAAATTTAGTACCAAACTTAAGCTGTTAAAAATCATTTTTCCCTTTAGAAAATATCATTCCACTAATTAAAATATATAAAACTCACATATATATATATATACAGTTTAATTTAAATTTATAATTTTTTATAAAAAATAAAATATTAATTATCTAGTTATAAATTAAAATTTATTTATTTATTTTGTAATTCATAGATAATAATTATTTTAACATTAACATATGAATTCTTTTATCAAAAAAATGAAATATCAATTATTTAATTAAAAATTATTAATAAAATTAAAATATATATTTTATAATAGCTATGAACTTAAAAAAAATAAAGACATGAATTGAATGCAAACGGAATAATAAAGTTAGAGTTTACAATTCTTATTTAATAGTTTAAAATAACCAATAGGGTTATGGGGATATTCCTTCTAAAAGAATAAACAAAAAGTAAAGAAATAAACAAAAAAATAAACAACTGAGCATCTTAGAACGAACTTCACTAGCTTTTGAAAAAATTTAGGTGGTGAACTATTCACAACCATCTTGTTGATCGGGATTTGGATCTTAGTTTTCTTGATTTGAAATAGTTAATGAATGGGTGAACTACACTAGTCTAATAAGAATATCACACTACTCACCGATACAGAAAATGAAGGTTGGTAAAAACTATAAAAACAACCAATTAAGCTTTTAATTTAAGTAAATTTATTTATTATAAATAAAAACATTTATTGCATACTTACCGTTTTGAGATTTTCAAAACCGATCTATAGAGAATAACTCAATAACATTATAATTTCATATTCAAGTAAGTAAGAATAACAACTTTTCTTTTTTATTTATCTACTAGTATCCATGGGGGTCCATAGGAATGTCCTACTACGCGTGAACCAACATTCAACCATATCAACTAACCAGTCGTTCTCATACCTCGTCTGGTATGAGCGCTAAAAATACCATCTCTCAATACATCATCCTGTATAAGGGTGAAACAGGTCGTCCTCATACCCCGTTCGATATGAGGCAATATTCACAGTAGGATTCCTTATATACTCGATCTGTCCACCATCTTTCAGGATATCCAGTAAGGCTATTCTTCATTTATTCACTTAACCAATTAATTTTCTGTTTATATTTAATTTTCAGTTTCATAATTTAACCGTAAATCAAAAGTAGACAAATAATACATACATCAAGGAAATACAACTGAATTATTTTATCAATTCCAGTATATTATCATGCATTTAGAACTATAAAATAAACAATTGGTTAAATAGAACAACAATAATAAATAGTCAGTTCTAGCTCCATTAGTAACCTGTAATTAATTTTTGAAATTTTTTATAAAGTATACAAATGTTACAGGAAAGAAGGTGAAAGATTCTTACCTGAATCGGTATCCGAAACACCGAACTTTCAGTTGCGCCCACTAGCGGTCCCAAGGTTTACTGAATTTTTCTGCAAATGTTAAAATACGCTTCACGTACCTAAAAATACCATAAAAAATCAAAAATCGGTGTTAAAAACTTTTTTCAACCAATTTCAGAATTCCAACATGGCGGCACCGCCGTGCTCCGGTGACGGCACCGCCAGACTGGCCATTTTCGATCAGTTTTGACCGGTTTTATATCCATCTCTGTGAGAAAACACGTTAGGAGGCATCGGTTGATCGAAAAAAGTCGAAAAACAAAAACTTATTGGCGACAGAATTTTTCGTGCGGTGGCTCCGCCGGTTCACCTCGTGATTGGGCATTTTTTTTGTCAACTTGTAGAAAACAAAATGCTAAATACAATGGTGAAAAAATTACACGAAATGGGAAACAGAAATGGGTTTATCGGAGGCGACTTTGAGTTTTGCCTGTGGCGGTGCCATTACTCGCGATTTCCAGCTCATCCGCCGTTCTTTGTTATCCAATTGGACATAGGGATGTTTGAAATCAAATTTCGAGCGGATAAGAGAATTTTTACATTTTTTAGTGGTCGAAGGTAGCTCTAGCGTGGCAGCCGGCGGCGATTGGCTGCCTTCTCCAGCAACTGGTTCTTCTTCTCCGGCGGGGGCCTGGCGGCTATGGTTTGGGTTCAGTATGATGTGAGATATTTATACTCGTCTCCCTTAAATCTGGGTCGTTCATCACTTTTAAAAAGAAAATGAATCTGAACTGTTCATTGTGATTTGATCTGAACCGTACGATCATGTTTAAAAAGAGAACAAATGTGGACCGTTCATCACATTTAATCACGACCGTCCGTTTGTGTCTGATGAGGGAACTTATCCGGATCGTCCACGCGGGCGGGAACACATCCGGCCCGTCCAATCACGGGCATGTAGATTGCCAACGTACCCTCTCGTATGGCACCGAGTGGCGCGACACGCTCCAAGTCCTACGTGACGGAATTTTTTTAAATTATATTTTGACCCCTAGTTTCTAATTTTTCTTTAAAAAATACCACTCGAACCCAAATTTTCACTATTTTTTTTAAATTATTTTCAATTTCATCATTTACCTATTTTTTTTTCTAACTTTACATTAAATAAAAATTTATAAATTTAAAAACTATATTTTTATATATTTTTTAATTTTAAAATTAATTGCATACTAAATTTAGGGTCTGGGTATTAATCCGGGTATTATTCTAACATTAACGTAAGAATTCTTTTATTAAAAAAATAAAATATCAATTATTTAATTAAAAATTATTAAAAAAAATTAAAATACACATTTAGTATGTCTATATTCACAATTATTTTTAGTATTAACATATGAAATAATTAAATTTGCTTACTTTCTTATCCTTAGAAGTAAAAGTTACCTTTGGAAATTAATGTATAAACTGTACATTACGTTCCTTTTCCAGCTTAACCAAAGAAATAAAAAACATTATCATATGTGATCATACAGTTAAAAATTTTTGTCTACAGTTTCTCTGAAAATAAAAGAATATATTAAAAAATAGTGGTATTAAATTCTTATTACTAATTAGTTTTCTATATTTATTTTTAATAATTAAATATGTATATATTTTTTATATTTGGTTTATCAATAAATTTGAGATTGGGGGCGAAATAATATATTAAAAAATAATAGTATTAAATATTTATTACAAGTTAATTTTTTTTTAGTACAAAAAACATCATCTTAATTTTTTCAAAGAAGAGCATGTTAAATTCCTTAGTGAAGGGCGGATCAGATCCTGAATACTGAAGTCAAATGGGGCACGTCAAGTCCTTGTCCTTCCATATATCTTTATTTCCAATAGTAGTCAAGCACTTGTTTAACTTTATTTTATAGAATATATTCATTAAATGTTTTTCTTAAGTAATATATATTTATTTGTATGTTTAATTTAAAATGGAATACATAATTTTATTTTTTTCTTTGAAAGTTTATATTAAATAGTGGATCAAATTTTACTTCTTCATTCTTTTCTCCACTATATAAACTTTTTAGTCCTTTTAATTTAAGTTAAAAGGAAGAAAATATAATAAAAGTATATAAAATCATCAATTTATATAGTTCGATAACCCATTAAGTTATTTTAATATTTAACTTAATGGAAAATTTGAGAAATTTAAAGAGAAAAAATATTTAGGGTGAAAATTGATTATTAGATTTGTCGGAACCTTACTTATAGTAACAGTTATAATATTTAATAATAATTAAATAATATCTTCAACATGGTAACAATTAGCTTGATTGCATGGCTTTATGTGATACATTAGCTTGAACTTTAATAACTTTATCCAACTTTGTGTACAAAAATTAAGAGTAATTTTTATTATATTAAGTAATATCATAAAAAATTTTAAAAAAAATATTGATGTGTTTTAAATTTTAGATGTATTTTATTTATATTCATAAAAAAATTTATTATATATATAATGAAAATTTTGTAGAAAATTCTCGTAATATCTCTATATAAGAAGGTCTGACTTTATTAATAATGCATTTTTTTTTTATTATAGTAAAAAAATTTATTATCGATTTTGTTCGTAAATATGAATAATTTTTTATTTTATTTTATTATGATTATGTGTGGTTTAAGAATTAATTTTTTCAATAAAAGATTAAAATAATTATTACTATTTTAGTTCTGGAATTATATATGGAACCTGCATTGGGGTGTGGCTGGGGAAGATTTAGATAAAAGAAAAAGAAATGGAGGATCATATATTTATACATACATTTATATATGTCTTTCATTGGTTACTCGAATATCTCGATTTATAATTTCTCATAATGAACAACCATGTTAGGAAAGAATGAACGCCAATTGAGTCACATGCCTCCATCTATAAATTCAGTAGAAGTCCTATCAAAACAGCTTTATTTATTTGACAATAAATTACAAACAAAGACAAAAAAGGTACAAACCACATGCTTGAATATTTAATGGATTCTCCTAACAGCATCTCTTCCTCCTTTTATAACGCTGTACCATCCAACTAAAACGGCGTCGGATCAACTCCACTTCCTCTCTGGGTTGGAATTTTTGTTGGATTGGGTTTGGTTAGGTTTTTATTTAACTGCTCATGGGTTTTAATTTTAAATCGAAAAAGCTTAATTTAAGTTTAAAATTGGATTTGTCTCAATTGGGTTTGATTTCAGGTTTGGGCTTAAATTTCATTCGGGTTTACCCGTTTGGAATTTTCAAAATGGTTTAAACTTAGGCTTTAAACTACTACTAAATTTATACCTCATATTACACACAGGGTTATAATTTTAAAAAATATTTTTAATTTAATTAAAATAAATAATTATATGATATATAAATTACAGTTAATCAAAAATTAAATTTATTTTATATTTAAATACATTATGTATTGTCAAAATTATTTTGTTATATTTTAAAATTTAAAGAATAATGTCTAAAATTTTATCACTATGCAATATAAATATAATTCTCGCATTATTTTTATTTAAAATGTGAGCTGGTAATATCTAACATTTTATCATATGTATTTATTAATAATATTTACATGTTATTTTTATATTTTAAAATTTTTTAAGTACATAAATATTATATATATATATTATTAAAATTATTTTTGTATTTAAAAATTACATAATGTATGATTTATAGGTAATTAAAAATTGATTGTTTGATATTTTAAAATTTTAAATATATAAATATTATGTATATTATCATATTAGTTTTATTTTTGTATTTTAAAATTCGAGTAAACAATATTTAATATTTTATCTTTATATAAATATATTTATAATTAATATTATATATAATTTTTATTTTTATTTCAAAAAAAAAGAAAATGTTATGTGATATTTTCGTTATTCTTTTAAAAATACATATGTATAGATTGATTTTAAATATTAATACTATATTATAAAATGCATAATAATTAGTAAAGTACAATAAATTTCCTAAGGTCAAGAGCAATTTCTGTTTTATTAGATGGACAAAAATCACATCCATTTTTATTATTTTATTCTTACTTTAATTTATTCAATTTTTGAAACTTACCGAACAATAAAAAAAATGAAAAATTAAATTGAAAAACTGTGAAGAAGTCTACTCTCCAAAAACAATATCATAACTTCTTCAGGGTTAAGTTCGCGGCGGAAAAGTTCTCTCTATGTATTCCGTTTCTCTCCGGTTATAGCCGGTTAACTCCAGCGCTTACCGGTAATCGTAGGTGAAGTCCGCATCACGAAGCATCCTTTTCTCTCTCTCTCTCTCTCTCTCTCTCTCTCTCTCTCTCCCAACGGCTCTACTGCCTCCATCAAGGAAATCTCTCTCTAAAACTCCTTTTTGTATTCGAGAAGCAAACTTCAATTCCTTCATTTGAGAATTCGCAGACACCGCAGCGCGTTGAAGTCAAAGGCACCGTTTCTTTCTCATATTATTCTATCTCTTTGCACTTTCTTTTCTTTATCTCGTTCTCCATCTCCCATTACCTTATCTGGTGCTTCTTCTCTCTTTTCTCTTCCATTATTCGTCTTTCTTGTTCACAATAGCATGAACCCATCATTTGCCTTTGTTCTTTCTCTCATACTCTACCCTTTTGCTTTTTCTGCAGTTTGATTCTCTGCTAAAAATGGTTGACACCATAAAATCCAGAGCAGATGTCTTGAGTTTTGTGGGTTGTCGCTATGGTTCTTAACTGTGCGTGTATCTATAGTTACGTTGCTTTGCTTTCTCTGACGCGGAGCTTTTGAGCTAGTTGTGTGTGGTGAAATGGGTGTTCAATTTTGGTGGGTGATTATCGTTGTTCTTGAGTTCGGCCTCTGTATTCAAGCTCAGGTATTGGATTCTCAGGACCTGGCATGCAATCCAGATGATTTGGTTGCATTGCGAGATTTCATGAGGAATTTGAAACCGACGCCTGGTGGGTGGGGCTCAAATTCGTCCACAGATTGTTGTAACTGGGTAGGCATCACTTGCAATTCTTCATCTTCTCTTGGACTGAATGATTCTAATCTCACTGCTAAGGTAACGAAGCTAGAGCTTGGCAGAAGAAAATTGGTAGGAAAATTATCTGATTCTGTGGGCAAATTGGATCAGCTTAGGACTCTCAATCTCTCCCATAATCTCCTCAAAGACTCACTTCCTGCGTCATTGTTCAATCTTTCCAAGTTAGAGGTCCTGGACTTGAGCTCTAATGACTTGTCTGGTCCAATCCCTCAAAGTACCAATCTACCTTCAATCAAGTTCTTTGACATCTCTTCAAACTCCTTGAATGGGTCTCTTCCTATCCACATATGCCAAAACTCTACCCAAATTCGGGCAATTCGTTTTGCAGTGAACTATTTCTCAGGTGATGTTCGACCGGGTTTCGGGAAATGCACTTTCTTAGAACACCTAACCTTTGGCATGAATGACCTTAGTGGTGGCATACCTGAGGATATGTTTCATCTTAAAAATTTGAACCTTTTGGGCATTCAAGATAACATGCTATCTGGCCAGCTCAGCGCAGGAATTGGTAACCTCTCTAACCTTGTTCGTTTAG